TATGGAGAGGGGATGCTTCTGATGTATAAAAATGTTAAAGCAAGATTTTTCTGAGGACAATATCAAGCACAGGCAGCCTACAGGACCAGAAGTTAAGACTAGATGGACAAGTGCAGATAGAGTTCTACGATTTCTCTCGTGTTTGGAGCGAATTTGGTTTACCCTAAGAGTCACACCGCAAACGATCACAGCGCTATCTGAAGCCAGTGTTAACCTGCTGCTACAATGGAAGAACCACCACATCAATTATAACCACATGTATTTAAGTGCTTTTACTGACTAAAATTTCTAAAGTAAGGACATTAAAAGGAGAAAAGAAACCAGAAGATTTCCAAGACATATTACATTTTAAAAGGAAAACAACATACAAAGAGCAATATGCAGTGAGTAATCTCACTTATGTTCAAATAAGAAACATTTACCTGCACAAATGTATGGATATGCATGGAAAGAGATGTGAAAGGGCAAAAGCCAAATATTACAGCAGTTACCCCTGGAAGAGAGATCTGAGATAGGATGGGCCTAGAAGAAGCAAGCAAGCAAGCAAGAGGCAGAAAAGGACTAAATTCCTCTAACTATTTGCCTTTTTTAAAAAGAAAATACAGGGTGGGGCAACAGTGTGTTTACAGTTGTGAGTATGCAAAACACAGTTTATTCTTGTATTATTATTTATTGTATTATTTTCCATATGGACAACTGTAAGCCTACTTTTGCCCACCCTATACATACATGTGTTACAGTATAATTACACTACATGAGACAATAATCATGTAGTTGGCAGTATTGTTCCTAGAAGAAAAAAAGACAATAAAAACATGGCAGAAATTGCATTTCATTGTTACACATAAATATAATTTAACTACTTACCTATGAGAAAGAGGTTTAAATATACATTGCCTCCTAGATTAACAGAATTCAAGGAGAAGGAATAGTATCCCAAACACGCCGTGAACCAAATCAGCCAAACAATAAGTGTCCTTTTTCCAATATTGCAGTCATAAAACAGATATAATAGCCTGTGCTTACTAGCATAAAGAGACTGTTGATCAACAGGACTGTATAGATCCAGGGATAAGAGTTCTGACAGCTTAAAGGTGCCTGCCCTATTCCACTTGGCCATCTGATCAACCACTGTTTGTGCTTCTTCATATTTTCCCTCTGAAAGAAGCCAAAAAGGAGTCTCCGGGAGCATCCAACAGAACAAGACAAAGGGGGCAGTCACTGTGGAGAGGATTATCTGGTAGATCCACCAGGTCCTGACCAAGTAGCCTGTCAAAGCCACCACCATCGTTCCAACGGCAAAAAAGGAGTGCACTTGGATGCATGCCCACGTCCGAGCCTTCATGCCAATAAATTCTGTCACATAGACGAACACCACTACGAGATAGCCGCTTGAAACCTGAAAAACACAAGGGGAAGGCGGTCTAGATTTAAGGTCACATTGACAACTCCTAAGTGGTCTGCTGTCTCTGCCAGTGACGTGTAGGCAAGAAAGAAAATGCCAAAGAATTGTTTTCTGGAACCCATATCACATTTATAAAAGGGCACCTAATCTGATCCATCCTTCCATTTTAGAAGGGGTCCTTCCATCTTCCTCCATCTTCTCCACACTCCATGGCAAAACTTGAGAGGTAATGTATAAATAAAGGTGAGACACGGCTTTCTGTTTTATTTAAATATTCCTTTACACTGTGAATTTATTTCTCAGTTCCTTGTAACTGTACATATCCATTTATCTATATATGCATGAGGTCCTTATTATCAAATCCTAAATTTTAAATAGGGACAAAAAGTGTGGTAAGTAGTGGGAAGAAAAAAGATTTAACTAAAACTCTATTTTGACCAGCAACAGAGGAAAAAAACCAGATAAGTTGGGCATCATGAAAATTTAAAACTTCTGTGCATCCGAGGACACTATCACTGGAGTGAGAAGGCAACCTAAGGATTGAGACATTTGCAAAACACATATATTATGAGGAAAATTATCCAGAATATATAGAGAACTTCTAAAAACTCAACAATCTAATTCAAAAATGAGCAAACAAAGAACTGGGATTTCTCCAAAGGAAGAGATGTGAATGGCCAAACAATATCACTAATCATTAGAGAAATGCAAATCAAAATCACAATGTGATACCATCGTATAGCCATTAAGACAGCTGCTATAAAATAAAATTTAAAAAAAAAAAAAACAGAAAATAACAAGCGTTGGCAAGGATGCAAGAAATTTGAACTTTTGTGTACTGCTAGTGGGAATGTAAAGTGATGCAACCACTAAAGCAAGCTGTATGGGAATTCCTCAAAAATTAAAAAATAGAACTACTATATGACCCAGTAATCCCTCTTCGGTTATATAGCCACAAAAATTGAAAGCAAGGTCTCAAAGAGACATCTGTACATCCATGTTCATAACAGCCGTATTCACAGTAGCTAAAATGTGGAAACAGCCGAAACCGGTTTGGCTCAGTGGATAGAGCGTCGGTCTATGGACTGAAAGGTCCCAGGTTCAATTCCGGTCTAGGGCATGTACCTGGGTTGCAGGCACATCCCCAGTGGGAGATGTGCAGGAGGCAGCTGATCGATGTTTCTCTCTCATCGATGTTTCTAACTCTCTATCTCTCTCCCTTCCTTTCTGTAAAAAATCAATAAAATATGAAAAACAAAAACAAAAAAAAAATGTGGAAACAGCACAAGTATCCATGAACAGATGAACAGATAAGCAAAGTGTGTTGTATGCATACAGTGGAATATTATTTAGCCTTGAAAAGGAGGGAGGAAGAATATTCTGACATAAGCTACAACGTGAGTAGACTTTGAGGACATTATGCTAAATGAAATAAGACAATCACAAAAAGACAAATACTGTATCACTGAATTTATATGGAGTGCCGAGAGAGAGAACGTAGGATAATGCTTGCTAAGGGCTAAAGGGCTAGAGATAAAGGGGAATTATTATTTAATGGGTACAGAGTTTCAGTTTTGCAAGATGAAAAATATTCTGGAAATGAATGATGGTGATGGTTGGACAGCAATGTGAAGGTACCTAACATCACTGAACTATACACTTCAGTTCAGTTGGTAAATTTTATGTGATGTGTGTCTTACCACAATAAAAAAAAATGGGAAGAAACCTTTATCTTGAAAATAGGCCCAGCAAGCTGGAGGGGACCAAGGGAGAGAAAAAAGGGGATATATGTAATACTTTCAACAATAAAGATCTTTTTAAATAATAAAATAAAATAGTCCCATTTTTAACAATATTTAGATTATAACAGTAGTCTGTGATCTTTCTTGGAATATAAGTCAAATGATGGATTGTTTTTTAGGGGAGTGGTGAAAGGATTAGAATTTTTCCTGCAAAATTATTTCATATTTGACTTTTACAACGCAATCATAAAGTTAACTTTTGCAAAATTATTCCAGAGCACCACCAATTTTCCCAAAGGCTTCTCTTCCTTCTTTAATATTAGAATTATACTCTTTTGAAACCCTTGTGGATGTTAATTTCTGGACCCCTTGGTGAGAGGGGATACGTGCCCTTCTCTGTGCTCAGCAAGATTACAAGCTCTTCCAGCAGATAAAAAAGTCACTCCATTATCCTTGACTAGTGACCTTCAAACAGAATCCCTGCTGCTGTTTGGTCATTTGGAAGCTGTCTGAAAGCCACTCCAAGTGTGGAAACAACGTCCTCACTCGCTGGCCCACCTCCAGTGACAGTCCCTGTTGCAGAGAGCCTCCTCCCTGCCGGGTGCTGTCCCACAGATGTTTACCGTAATCCCACTGAATGCTGATAACAGCCCTGAGAAGCAGGTATTATTTCCCACAGCTTAGAGTTTAGAAACGAAGGCTCAAAGAGGATAACATGGTTCCCCACGATCACACAGCTAAGAAGCCAGTCTGTGACAAACTCATGCCTTTCTCACCAGGCTCCCCTGGTTCCTCAGAGCATAAAGGCCTAATGCCTTCCTGTTTTCATTCTTACTGCACAATACACAAATGACTTCTTTAACACCTTACCCATCTGTTTGGCTCCTACATGCAGGGCCTGATGAGACCGATATAATTAATTGCTCAGAAATAAAATAATGCCTTAGGAACTATGGAATGTGGACCCTGTGCCAGGCATAGAGTCAAACAAAAAAGCTTCTGCCTAGTAGGCAACAATTATTCATTTTAATGAGTCCCATTCTAAACAAAGGGCATTAATATTCCACAGAAAGAACTTCGGCAAGGGAGTGAAACAAGGTTAAGCCTTGATCTCTCGCCCTAGATTCCAAATTGGCATATCTGAGAGAGTTGAGCTTCGATGTGAAACACTGTGTCCAATTAGAAAAGTAAAAAAAAAAAAAAACCACAACTCACAATAGCAAGAAGAAAGCGTGCAACCATGAAGCTGTAATAATCCAATGTGAATGCCGCTGCTATGCCAAAGAAGTACATGCCAATGCTTGTGGACCACAAGACAAGTCGTCTTCCTATCCTGAAAGAGAAGCATCAACAGCGGAGGAAGCGGGATAGAGTTGTAAACATCCACCCCAATTCATGAAAGATGTGTTACCCATGTTTTTAATCGCTTATGTTTCTGGTTATTGTTATTCATTCGTTTTGGGCAAACCATGAGTAAAGACTTATTTCTTCAAGAGGCCAGTCTTTCAGTGGCGAGGTCTCTACCTAAGCTGCTAATATACATATATGATCACTCTGGGTGATCCCCGGGAGATCCACTAATCTGGGATTTGGGGGAAGAGGAGGGAGCATGTGTCCTTTCCCTCCCAGGACTCCCAGTCTCTGATCTGTTGGATCACCATCCCAGCCGAGCTGGTGCTGCCCACCAAGGCTGAGGCAGCTCTTGCTAAGCTTTCTCATAGATAGAGATCTTGCTACATTCTGCTCATAAAGTAAGATGCTTACTTGCCTTATATTTTTATAGTTGGGGAAGGGTATTTCTTTGTCTAAAAACAAACAACAGCCCGACCGCGTAGTTCAGTGGTTAAGTGTCAACCTGTGAACCAGGAGGCCTCAGTTCCATTCCCAGTCAGGGCACATGCCTGGGTTGTGGGCTTGACCCCCAGTAGGGGGCTGTACAGGAGGCAGCCAATCAATGATTCTCTCTCATCATTGATGTTTCGCTCTCTCCCTCTCCCTTCCTCTTTGAAATTAATAAAAATAAATATATACATAAATATAAATAAAAACAAATTCTATTCCTGACAGATTTTATTTTAATTGAGATATAATTTACATGCCACAAAAACCAACTTTTTAAAGATTACAATTCAGTGGCTTTTAGTGTGTTCACAGAGTTGGGCAACTGTCATCACAATCTAATTCCAGGACATTTCCATCACTGCAAACAGAAACTCTGCACCCAGAGCTGTCATCCCACATTCTCTGCTCCCTCCAGCCCTTGACCACCACCAACCTACTTTCTGACACTGTAGAGTTGCCTCTTCAGGACATTTTATATAAATGCAGCCATACAATATATCACCTTGCATGTCTGGCTTCATTTACTTAGCATTATGTTTTCAACACTCACCCATGTCATAGCATGTATCAATACTTCAGTCTTCTTGATGAGTAACTAACATTCAATTGTATGGATATGCCACATTGTTTATCTATTCATCAGTTGATGGACAGCGGGTTGTTTCACTGTTTGATTAGTATAAATAATGCTGCCATCATCATTCCTGAATAAGATTTTGTGTGAACTTATGTTTTCAATTCTCTTGGATATACTCTGACGAGTGAAATTGCTGGGTTCTATAATAACTCTATGTTTTAACTTTTTGAAGAACTTCCAAAGTTTTTCCCAAAGTGGCTGCCCTGTTTTTTACACTCCTACCAGCAACCTATGAGGGTACCGATTTCTCCTTATGCTCCACAACGCTTGTTATTATTGGCCCTTTTTATTACTGCCATCCTAGTGAGTGTGCAGGAGCATCTCGCTGTGATTTTGATTTGCTTTCCCCCAGTGATTAATAACGGTGAGCATTTCATATATGTTCTTTAGGGAAATGTCTATCCAAGTCCTTTGTCCACTTTTAAATTGGACTTTCTTTTTATTGTTGAGTTGTAAGAGTTATTTATATATTCTCATACTGACTCTTATTAGATATACGACTTGCAAATATTTGCTCCCTGTGAGTTGTCTCTAACAGATAGTTTTAAGGCAAAAATATATATATAGTCCCGAGATTCCAACCAGTAGGTAAATTATTAGAATTCATGAGCATTTAATGAGGTGGCTGGATATATTATCAATATATTAAATTAATTCTATTTCTGTATGCCAGTAACAAATATAAAAATTTTTAAATGCCATTGCAATACTTTAGAGCTGTGAACTATATATGAATAAATCTAACAAAAAGCTTGTAAATGCTCTATAGAGAAAAGGACAAACTTCAAGAATCAAATCATTAAGGGAAATAGATATATCATTAGAAGGAGACTGATGGTCCCTAAGAGGACCCTGAAACAGACTAGTGCATTCATAGACAGAAGTATGGAACAAATAAGGCACTGCACATTAGCAGAAAAAGAATCAGTAAGTGATCCTGGGACAACTGTCTAGCCATATAGAAGAAAATATAACCGGAGTCCCTTTCTCATAACTTACATTATAAAAATCAGTCCCAGAAGGATTAAAGGCACATACGTGAAATGCAAAACTATATCACTTTAGGAAGATGATATTGGAGAATATCTTCAGAACCTAATGCAGGAAGGGAAGACATTTTTTTTAAGATACAGAAAGCACTAACCATGAAGGAAAGGATAATACATTTGATTTCACGTCCATCTGAAAGACACTCTTGGCTGGCGTGGCTCATTAGTTGAGTGTTGACCTATGAACCAGGAGGTCATGGTTCGATTCCCATCAGGGCACATGCTCGGGTTGCAGGCTCGATTCCCAGTGTGGGGTGTGCAGAAGGCAGCCAATCAATGATTCTCTCTCTTCATTGATGTTTCTATCTCTCTCTCCCTTCAGCTCTGAAATTAATAAAAATATATTAAAAAGAGACAAAGAGAAGACACATGGGAGGGAGGGGAAATATTTATTTGTTTTACATATAACTAAAGGATAAGGATCCAGAAGAGTCAAAGGACTTTTGAATTCATGCACTGGTGGGATCCCTTGGCCTAGCCTGCAGGGATCAGGCCGAAACCAGCTCTCCAACATCCCCCAAAGGGCTCTGGATTGTGAGAGGGCAGTTCTAGGGTGACACCCTAGAATCAGGCTCCCTCCTCTCTGGTTCCAGGTGCATCACCTGAGAACTGTAGCTGCCAAGTCACTGCAGCTCAGCAGCTCCTGCATTCAGAGTCAGTGGGTGTCATAGCTACTGGTCAGAGTGTCTGTCCCCTGGTAGTCATTGCGTGTCATAGCTACCAATCGGATGGTTGAATGGTTGGACGGTCGCTTAGGCTTTTATATATATAGATAGGAAACAGACAAAATGGGGAAAAGATTTAAAGTCACTTCATAAAAGAGAAATCTAAGTGGTCAAAAGGATGAAAAAGGTGTTAATGACATACAATCATACTGTTTATTTCTGACCAGTTGTCAAAAGTAAAAAGTCTTGTAATACCAAATGTTGGCAAGGATATGGAGTAATAGGGTCTCTCACCCTGCTGGTGTGAATGCAAATTGGGAATGCAAATCAGAAAAACCAAAGAATACTTTAGCATTTTATAGAGAAGCTGGTAATGCGGACCTCCCCCTACCCCCGCCCCCGCTACCCTCCAGGTTCTAGGGGATGTACCCTGGAGATGCTCTTGCACATGTCCACGTGGGTACATGCATAAGAATGTTCCAACAGTATTGTTCCTAACAGCCGGCACTGAAACAAGCCACACATCCTTCAACCATATCATAGACACATGTATTGCAGTGTATTCCTGCAGAGGGATATGCAGGGTTGTAATGGCTACAAATAATAAATCTTTTTCCTCTCTCTTTTCCCTTATGTCTTTCTCCCATCCTCACCCTCCTCCCTCTTTCTTTTTCTCCCTCTCTTTTGCTTTATGGTACTAGCTAGAATCTCCAGTACAATACTAAGTGGAAGTGGGGTTTCACATATCCTTGTCTGTGGCTGATCTCAGTGGAAAAGCTTTTAACAGTTCACAATGAAGATGTGCATGGCACAGTCTTCTATTTTTAGGTTTTATCATGAATGAATTTTGAAATTTATCAAATGCTCTTCTTGTTTACTGAGTTGGTGATAAGAAGTGTGCTCTCTTCCACTGATTTGTTTCTAAAATAAATATGCAAATAAACAAATAAATTCTATAAATTTCAATCTCTCATATTTTCCAACTCTGTCTTTCTGAGTTTTATTATTGATCATTTTTTTCTCAACTACCATCCATGTTACTAATTCTTTCTTTAGCTGTGTATAAAAGGTTGTTAAAAGTACCCGGGAAGTTTGTTAGTCCCTTTTTATTTTTTAATTTCTAGATGTTCTAGGTAGGTATTCTTCAATTTTATGTCATTTTAAAATACAATTTTCAGACTTTTAGCAATGTTTTAATATTTGTCTTCTATTTCTTTAAGAATATAAACATAGCCCTGACTAGTTTGGCTCAGTGAATAGAATGTGGGCCCAGCCCTGGCTGGTTTGGCTCAGTGAATAGAACGTGGGCCCGCAGACTTAAGGGTCCCAGGTTCTATTCCAGTCAAGGGCATGTACCTCGCTCGGTTGCAGGCTATATCCCTAGCCCTAGTCGGGGTGTATGCAGGAGGCAACAAGTCGATGTGTCTCTCTTATATCCATGTTTCTCTCTCTCTTTCTCTCCTCCACTAACTTCCACTCTCTCTAAAAATCAATGGAAAAATATCCTCTGGTGAGAATTAACAACAACAACAACAAAAGGAATATAAACATAGTTACTTAATTACCTATGCCTGGTAATTCCAGTATTTGAAGTCTTTGTGCAGAACTAGGTACACCTCTTAAAGACCAAGTCTATTTAACAGCAACACAACAAAAAATCAAAGTAATAACCAGTATATGTTGAGTGGTTAAATGTCCAAGGTACATTTTTTAATTTATTTTTTTTATTTCCAGTATTTGAAGTCTTTGTGCAGAACTAGGGAAACCTCTTAAAGACCAAGTCTATTTAACAACAACAACAACAAAAAACCAAAGTAATAACCAGTATATGTTGAGTAGTTAAATGTCCAAGGTACATTTTTTTAATTTATTTTTTTAATTGTTTAAAGTATTACATATGTCTCCTTTTTCCCTGATTGACCCTTCCCCCAAAGTACTTTTTCTGTATTAATTTTACAATAACCCTTTGAAGTGAATGCTATTGTTTTCATCTCCAGCTTACAAACAAGACTCTAAAACACGGGTTAGGCACTTTGCCCAGAGGCCACAGAACCAGGGTTTGAACGCAGGCAGACTGCCTTCAGAGCCCATCCTCTCACCACTATTATTTTTTGAAGCATGAAAATGATTAAAGTTTTTAACGTAATTCCCTGTCCCCTTAGAAAATCAGATAGGACAATAAACCCCACCCTGAGCAGCAATGCTAACTATTTCATTGTACCTGTCAGAAAGGTAGCCGAAAATCAGCGCTCCCAGCAGGACTCCTACCATAAATGTAGGCTGGATCAGCTTGGCAAACCATTCTCGGTTACAGACCAGATCCCACTGAGTCACCACGGTGCTGTCCCATTTGCTTGTGTCATAGATGTAGCCATCCAAGCAAGGAAAACGACTTTTATGGCCGTTATAATTATAGTCCAGATTCGACAAGTTATCTCTCCGGAACCTGTTACACCTTTTGAGCTCCCAGATCTCACCGTCCTGTAGCTGCACCACAACTTGCTCTTCGTGGCCCGAGGAAGACAGCTTCCAGATGTTGTCCAACCTCCAATCAGAAACATTGTGGAAAAGAACCCGGCTCACATTGCCTGGGGGCCTGCAGGCGTACCTGGGGAGCACGGTCATAAACACAGAGGCCAAGTAGTGGACACCACAAGAGATATTCTGGAAGGCAACTGTGAAATAGAGAAATACCTGGTATCTGAAAAGAGAAGAAAAGCAAGTTATTATATATGGACTAAAAAAAGAACATAAGCAAATATGAACGGTCTTTATCATGTTTACCTTAACGTATGTACAGATGGATAAATACAGAACAATCATAGATATGTCCGTATGCACAGGTTAGTGTGTATGCATATATGCATAGCTCTGTTGAGAGGGCCTAGAAGCAATGAAACCCCAATAGCAACAAGCACACCCAGTGCCCAGATCTTGATTTCTAAATACCATTCTCCAATAAAGGAAACCAGGCAAAAGAGACCAGGAGGGGAGAATACAAACTAAACCTGGAGCATCTTGTCATATCCGAAAGTAAGGAAGTGCTCAAAATACAAAAGATCCTGAGCATTCTTTCCATTTAAACCTTCCTTTCTCTTTTGCAAGGATAACTTCTTGAAAAAAACAAAACCCTACCTCCTTAGGTGTCTCGTATTCTAACATATCCCTCTGTTCCTTACAAAGCCTGTTATCCATCACATGTCATCCACGTGCCCAAACTAAGACCCCTCTATGACAACATACCTGTAGATACAGTGCACACAGCTGGAGGGGCACACGCATGAAAAAGAAGCATACAGACACAAAAGGCAGAAAACCCAGATGCAAGGGTGCTGGTGCTTCCAGGGTTCAGAAAGTCCCACTTCGGGCGTCCATTTATGCCGGGGTTCATGTCCCAGCATCAGGAAGGGTTCAGGAATCTGGAGAAAGGGCTGTGCGTAGATGACATAGGAATCCAGAGACTACTAAAGAGTCTGGAGATGAGATATAATTTTGAAAGGCATTGGGGGTCAGAGGACCTTCAGCTAAAGGAAACGAACACCCCCTTCTTGTCTAGGACCCTTGCTTTATTAACACAACTTGTCCTAAGGCAAGGTGGAGATAATACACTTCAAAGGGTAAGGCTTCAAAGGGTACAGAAACATTGTCAGTTTGGGGGAATTAGCCTACGGCTGTTCAGGTGTTTGGCCAGTAGGAGGCAATCACATGTAGATTAAGATGCCCTTTAACTGTCTGGCAGCCACAATCAGTTTCCTGTTCAGGTTTGGGGAAATGCCTTTAGCCATTCCCAACAGGTGACTACATGAGTGACTCGACCCTGTTGAGTCCCCAAGTCTCATCAACCTTTTGATGAAACTCTTGAAATTATGACATGCTGGAATTGGTTCCCGGTACAAGGGAAAGCAAAAATGGCCAGAACTCCCTGCAAATGGGCCATGCAATCTGGGCGATGGGTGAAGAAACTTCCAGTTCCAGATTTATGCCATGCTGTTTTTAAAAAGCATAGCTGGTGGCACCGCACTGTGCCTAAAAGGGTGGACTCCAGAGCCAGACTGTGAAGGCTTGAATCTTGACTTTGTCACCATATGGGACTTCGGACAAGATCCTTAACTTTGCTATGCCTCGGTTTCCTCGCCTGGGTGGCCGTGGGAATGCGAAGATGTCATACATGTAGAGCACTATGGCACATTGTAGGTGCATGTGTTAGCTATTATGATGTTCATAAAGGAAAGTCAAAAAAGAAGAGCCCAAAAATAAAAAGTTCATATTTTGAAAAAACACACACACATAGATGTAGGCTCCACAGTCCAAGTCTGACATTTTAAAGCATCTCTCCCCTGGCCCCGGGACAACTCAGGGATCCAGGTTCTTAGATTCTCCCAACACAGATGCCTGCACCTCAGTGTCCTCAATTCCCTCTTACTCGGGACTTACGCCATGAAGTTTATGGAACTTCAATACAATTTTAGAACAAGTCCTGAAGGTGCGTTTTAGTTCTTAGGTGTCCTGCTTCCCTCCCTTAAAGGTGATTAGGGTAGAGCTTCCTTATCTTAGAAATGACTAATGAGAAGTGAAAGGTAATCCCAGATCTCTACTTAACGCTTTCACTAGGTTTTCTTAAGAGAAGGCTAATAATACACAATAGCCTCCCTTCCTATTTATAAATAAAGAGACCAATTACAGCAAAATATGAGAGAAAAGATGGGGTGCCATGTTACAGTCATATTTTTGCAAACCTTTTGCTGTAAGCTTTGACTTGTTACCCTTTTCCTTCTTATAAGCTGCTTTCACCATCAACCCTTCCAGGATGGAGGCTCAGGTAACAATAACAGTCATGATATTGAGAACTTATTGAATAACTGGAGGCCCAATGCAAGAAATTGGTGCAAGGGTAGGACCCGCCCCCCACGCACACCCATCTTGGCCCGGCCCTGGTCAGCCACCGCACACCCCCAGTTCCCTGGTTCTGCAGAGCCCCCTGATTGGTGACCCCCTGGCCAGTGACCTGGGCCTCCCTCTACAGGGTGATTGAGGGGCGATGGCGTCCCCTCTCCCCCACCAATCACGTCACACCCGCCTTGGCTGGCCTGGTGCCAGTGGGTGTCATAGCGTGGTCGTCCAGATGGTGGTTCTACTGTTCGGCCATTTGGGCAATTTGAATATTATGCTTTTATTATTATAGATAAGCGTTTTGCACACATTATTGTGGCAGGCTAGGAACTCTCTCCCAAAATCTAGTCCCTACTTCTTCCACCACTGTGAGCTACCTTTGACCATGCGCGTGAGGACCAGGAAAGCAGCATCAAGTGAAACACTGTGTGTTCCTACCTGGCACAGCTACCTGGCACAGTGTGCCTGGCACATGCTAGCTTCCTATAAATGGCAACAAACTCCCAGGACTGGTGGTTCGTGGGGCAATGCCTGCCAGGCACTGAGGAGACCTCAGGGCTGGCGAGGTGGGGCAGGGCAGCAGTCGTCTTGGGAAGTGAAAGAGGAAACTGGAGGATTGAAGAAACCAGCGCTCCTCTGTTCCTGTAACCCGGCCTCTCCCACTAGGCCTCCCGGCCTCAGCTCCCCAAGACCGTGCGCCCCAAGTTCCTCCTGCCCTGCCGCAGGCACGCCGGGCGGGCCCTGCCACCCCCATTCCGGAAGCGAACCCCAAGGCCCTTCTCCTCGCTGTGGGGAGGTCCTGCCACCAGAGTCGGTCTGGCCCAGGGTCTCCCGACTTCCTGGGACACATGGGGTGAAGGTGTCTGCAGATCGCGAGCACGGCGCTCGAACCCCACTGCAACCGACAGAAACAGACCCCACCGACACCTCCACTCACGCGGCTCCCGATCGCCGGGGCCGTCCTCCCCCAGCCGCACCCCCAACTTCCTACCTGCCAAAGTGCCCCACGCGGTCAAAAA